GGCCTATGGTCAGTCAGCACAGAGCGGTATGTAACACCATTTCATCCCACACCACGATAGAACCAAAAGTCCCTTAAGGCTCCTCTTTAACAAAGCCCATTCATTTAATAAGCAGCAGCCAGTGGCACTGGATTCGATTCGGCGAGGAGTGTTTGATATGGAAAAATGGTGGAATTACACCATGAAAAGAAAGAAGAGAAACTTGGAGATGGAAAGTAGAGGGGAGGATGACTGATTAGGCAATGAATGGATTTAAAGTGAGGTGACTTCTTTTTTAAACGCAAGTGATTTTGCTGAGGCGGAGGATCCTACAGGGGACAGATACAGTTAGACAGCAATTGACTGCCTTGTATTGTATCATGTTGGAGTTCAAGAGGCTATCAAAACATTATGCCAGGGAGAGTCATAACAATGACCAGCAGAGTAATAAAAGACATAAAGTCAGGGAGATGGGTAAGGAGGGAGATGAGAAAAGCTAGTAGGGCAGAGGGAAAGAAGGATAGTCAAGAAAAAAAAAAGATGGAAGACACAGGGAGCGAGAGGCAGGAAAATCAATACACTTCTATATGCAGCATTGAGAATGTGCCCTCTCGCTGCTCCAGACAGCCTATCCAAGGACTCCAACAGCCAGCAGACAAACTGAACATCTATCCACAGACCCACACTCATAATATGCCACCCCAGTCTGTCCCTGTCTCCATTTATCTCCCCCTCCCATAAACACATACGCACGCACGCACACACGCACACACTTCAACCTACTGGCTTTTCTCCTCCAAATTTAACACTCTAATTTGGTAGAGGGCTGGCTGCCGTGTTATTGATGTTGCCAGAGGTCTGATCCATCTAGAGCCTGGGACAAGGCTTCAGTCAAAATGGCTATAACTCAGAGGCATCCTGCTCCCTGTTTGCCAGAGTATCAGACCAGCATTGGTAATTTAAAGGTTGGATAGACAGCCAATATTACTGTATGCACCTGCCTCGCTTCATCACCCTAAAGGGCCGCATGCCAGTGCTCCGAAGCATTTGGTAAATTTCCATGCTTGTTGAGACACGTTGGATTGGAAATCAATTTTCGTAACTTTTCGTAGTGGCAAACTTCAACAAATGCCGTCTTTAGGATTATACAATATGGAAATTAAGATAAAATAAATTTTAAAAAGAAAATAAATGTCTCTACTTTTCACAGTGTTCACAGAGAGGGATTAGCACATATCCTGTGTGTGTGTGTTTGTATATGATGGTGTGACATGTGGGATGGATTAGAGAGGTTTACTTCAGAGTGAGCTCTGCATGCTGGTGCTTCTTCACATATCTTTTCCCCCCTTATGTATGTGTTTGTGTTTGAGTGTGTGTGTCCACCCATCTGTGTGGGTTTAGCTGGAGGGCAAAGCGACAAGGGATTGGAAAAGCTGGGTGTTTCGTTATATACCATTGTCTTATCACAGAGATATATAGCCAAACAGAACACAGAGGGGCTGAGCCCGATCAGACAGCGATGAATGAAGATCGGAAGGAAGCACAGACATGTAAAAGAAAAATTTTAAAAAAGAAAAAGGAAGAGAGGAAAAAGAAAACATGGGGAGGAACAATGTGCTCTCTGGATGCCCACAGGACTATGGTTAGTGTAGTCTCTGATCAATGATTAAAGAGCTTTATGTTCTCCTACCCACAGCATTGTGGAGGACACGCTCACCTCTCTCAAGCTCTGCCTCAACCCTCCCGCCCCCTATTCTTACTTCCCAGGGCTGTCCATCCTCCTGCCCTTTCCCTTCTCTCTGTCTCTATCTCTCTGAAGTAATGGGCAGACAACCATTGCTGTAATTTCCTCTGTACTAAAAACTGACAACTATAAAAGGTCACACAGAGGAAGTGGTCTCATGCTTCTAATCACTCAACAAGAGCACGGCCACTCAGTCCATTCAAATATCACCATGATAAAGACAAAATGTCCTCTACTGCTGACTGTTTTCTTTTATTTTTCTGATGTAATAAAAAGTTGAACACAGAGAATATAGTGTTTACATTTATTTTAAATGCCCTTGAGCTGCACTTATATAAACAGTTTTTTCCTTCTCTGAATAAAATAATTTGGCAGGATTTACACGTTCGCTAAATGAAATGATTGCGTAATGGGTCATGGTCATGCTCCATGGAAAGCATTCATAAAATGTGAAATATATTGAATGCATGCACCTCAAGCGAAAGACAGAGTTGAGCCTAGGTTATTGGTTTGCTGGGGTGCATTCGACTGAAATCAAAATCTATCTCCTCCTGTTGTTGTTATTAAATGGATGAAAGCTCATCTCCTGCTTTACAGCTCCCTGTAAACTAGAAAACATCACTCGACCAAATCTGATTTCTCCTGTGGGGATGACTTCATTCGATATATTCAGACTTTTTATTTTAATATATATAATAATTTTTAAATGCATATACCAGTCAAAAGTTTGGACACACCTTCTCAATGTCTTCATACTGAAAACATCAAATATATTAAAACAAGATATATGGTATTGTGTAGCAAGGAAAAAAATGATAAATAACTCTAAATTTGGCTTATATTTTAGATTCCTGAGAGTAGCCACCCTTTGTTTTATTGACAGCGCTGCAAACCCTTGGCCTTTTCTCAGTGAGCTTCATGATGTAATCACCTGAAATAGTTTTCACTACACAGGTGGGCCCTGTCAGGGTTCATTTGTGGAATTTCGTGAACTCTTAATGGTGTGGGGACCGTCAGTTGTGTTGTGCAGAAGTCAGTTTGGTACACAGCTGAGAGCCCTATTTGACAACTGTTAGAATTCATATTGTGGTGAGAACCAATCAGCTAAGTAAAGAGAAACAACAGTCCATCATTACTTTAAGAGCTGAAGGTCAGTCAGTCGAGAAAATTGCTAAAACTTTGAATGTGTGCCCAAGTGCAGTCGCAAAAACCATCAAGTGCTATGATGAAACACATGAGGACCACCCAAGGAAAGGAAGACCAAGAGTAACCTCTGCTGCTGAGAATAAATTCATCCGAGTCACCAGCCTCAGAAATTACAAGTTAACAGCACCTCAGATTAGAGCCCAGATAAATGCAACGAGTTCCAGTAGAAGACACATCTCTTCATCAACTGTTCAGAGGAGACTGCGCGAATCAGGCCTTTATGGTCAAATAGCTGCTAAGAAACCACGACTAAGGAAAAGCAACAAGCATAAGAGATTTTTTGGGGGGCCAAGAAACACAAGGAGTGGACATTAGAGCAGTGGAAATCTGTGCTTTGGTCTGATGAGTTCAGATTTGAGATCTTTGGTTCCACCCGCTGTGTCTTTGTGTGGCGCAGAAAAGCATGGAGGAGGTGTGATGGTGTGGGGGTGCTTTGCTGGTGACACTGTTGGAGATTTATTCAAACATGGCAACCACAGCATCCTGCAGCGACATCCCATCCCATCCGGTTTGTGTTTAGTTGGACCATCGTTTATTTTCCAACAGGACAATGACCCCAAACACACCTCCAGGTTGTGTAAGGGCTATTTGTCCAAGTAGGAGAGTCATGGAGTGATGTGCCTGATGGCCTGTCCTCCACAGTCAGCAGACCTAAACCCAATCGAGATGGTTTGGGATGAAACGAGATGAGATGAGAGGGAAGGCAAAAGAGCCAACAACTGCTCAGCATCTGTAGGAACTCCTTCAAGACTGTTGGAAAACCATTGCAGATGACAACCTCATGAAGCTCATTGAGAGAATGCCAAGAGTGTGCAAAGCACTAATCAAAGCAAAGGGTGGTAACTTTGAAGAATCTAAAATATAAAACATATCTTGAGTTATTTCACACTTTTTTCCATATGTGTTCATTCATAGTTTTGATGCCTTCAGTGAGACTCTACAATGTAAATAGTCATGAAAATAAAGAATAACCATTAAATAAGAAGGTGCGTCCAAACTTTTGACTGGTAGTGTAAATCTATCTATCTATCTATCTATCTATACATATACATATATATAAAAAACTGTACAGTATGTGGGCCACGTGCAATGTGATTCCCAAGAGCACCAACTCCATGTGATGACATAAAACTTTTAGAAATGCACTTTACTGAGCAGGATGACTCATAATCCAAATCATGATTTTAAAAACGCATTTTCAAAACCTAGAAGCACAGATCTGAGGATGAATATAAGGCATTAGTTAAGGAGGATCATGCAATAAATATTGCAATCCTTCCACATAGATTCATTAAACATTGAGCAAACACATTCTGGTTGTTAAAACCAGACAAATTTCAGAGACCTGAGTAGACTTATACAGCATGCAGCATATGCCGTGTTCATTTACTTTGAGGTTTTGTGCCACAAGTAGCAGGTGCATTAAGTATCAAAAGAAATCGATGTGATTGTGGCGAGACAAAGAGCACAGACACTGCAATTATTGTGAGTGTATAAGAAAACAGAGTTGAGCCAAAAATGGAAGATCGAGTCAAATAAACATGAACACAAAAGAAAATGAGACAGAAGAAGAGACCACAGTCTATTACGAGTTCCATCTTGTAGTTTGTGTCTACATTGATTTGTTGGGGACTAGGATCTCTGCCTCTTCCCAGCTCACCTAATTGCACTCACTGTGACCCGCTAATTACTTCACTAAGACCTAGCTGGTCTCATCTCACTGCACTACTTCTCTGTCTAAAGTCGTCTCCATAACAGTGTGGGAGGGTGGGACAAGGAATGAAAGTAAATGTGAAGGCACAAAGGGCAAACGAGGCTGGATTAAGAATGCATGATATATGTCAAAGCAGGAGACAGAAACAAGATGTAGAATGAAACAACAAGTGACAGACAGACCAAGTTGGGAGCATATGTTTTATATCTGAGTTAGTTTTAAGGTGGAGGGTACTGATGCTTTTGTCTCCAACTAATCTGCATACATAATTAAATAAATCTCTGCTGATTAGACAATCACAATGATGAAGACAATAATGACAGTTAATTCACTGGGAACAACATGAAGCTAACCTACCTGATGGGTTGAGCCCAAATTCCCAGCTGGGCACAAGCATGCCAAAAGGATTCTTTGTACCAGTATCTTCTGTTGTTGGCGGGGTTTTATGTTCCTCTGACTTTAAGCCCTTGAATGGCGTCCAATGGCTTCCCACAACAAAAGACTCAGAAACGGCAGATCTGGATTCCATTTCTGTAGCAGCAACCTTGATGTCTGATACGGCAGTAGTCAAGTGAATGACTCCAGAAGTGGTTGTGGATGCTCCTTCGGGTGCAGGAGTCGATGAGAGGCCCTGCATGTTGGGTAACATTGTAGCTTTCTCCTTGTCTTCCTGAGCCCACGAAATGGAAATAGATGGCTCCTCTGTATAAGATCTATTTTCTATAGTGGCTGCTGTGGTAGCAGGATCCACTGTCTGTGCATCTCTGGCCAGAAGCTCTGCCGTCGTCATTTCAGAAGTTGTCAGCATCTCTATCAAAGCCTCATGTCTGGTAATCATCACCTCATCAGTGCTTGTACCCTTACTGTCTTTTCTATAAACTGGGGTGAATCCGGAGTTTGAACTAACTTCCCCGCTGTGTGAGGAGGTAGATGAGAGCTTGTCAGTAGGCCTGTGAATGTAGAAGATCTCGCCCCTAGCCTCCTCTGCTGACTCTGTTTCCTGGGAGACCTGAGGTGGGGTGGTGGGCTGTTCCACCAGCTGCCAGTGGGACAGAGTTGTGCGCTCAGCCACAGTGGCAAAATCACTCTGGCTGAGTGAAGATTTCGACTCAGTAATCACTTTGATGCCACTGCTGTCCAAATTGTTGTCTTTCATTCCAAATCCATCCGGCACGTTGCTCCCTTCTCCACTACCCTCTATCACTTTCTCCTCTCCTGATGCGCTTCTGGCAGTTGGAGTATTGGCATTCTCTGTATCCTGCTCTTTGCCTTCACCTGAATAATTATCTGTGTAGTCCTGTCGAAGGAAGGTGGGCAGGGTCATCATCTCAATGGGTCCTGCTTTGGCTTCCATTGGCTCCCAGGTGGGTTTTTTACCCACATAGCCCACATTTTTAGGAAGGCCTAGTTTGGGAATGCGCATTGATTTGATGGCCCACTGAAACTGGGAGCTGGGAGCAGGAACAAAGGTAGGATGTTGCCTGAGACCCTGAAGACTGGAGAAGTTGACATGTTCACTGGATGGTGAGCTCTCAGTGGGATCCGATTCAGGGATTTCTATAGAAAATACAGAGACAGAACAGACTAATTAAGCAAAGCATCAGGGGATGTTATCTAGAATTAGCAATTTAAAACTCAAGCACAGACTACATCAACCCCATGGAGACTGTTCAGGGAACATAGTTAAAAAATGAATGATAACAGCAAGAACACAGATTTGCTGTGGCCAGTGCTCTGAGCTGGAAATGGTGTGTGTTAACTGTATCTGATTTCATTCATAGTATTTGCATATTTCCTTTATTCCTGCACACACATTGTACGCAGTTATGAGATAATAGAATTCTACTTTTTTCCCAACCGAATTGGAATTGGATTCAATTTGCGGTAATGGAAAGGGTGGATATTGAAGAATGGGGTAGGTTCACTGGTTGGTGCAACTACTCACCCACTCACCCACCCACTGATCAAGAACGAATAAATAACACGACATAAACAATGCAACTCTGCAAATAAAAGTTGCCCTACTTTACGGCAAATAAACCACAGAGCCATGAGCAACCTCGCGCCCTTAGAGAGCAGTTAAGAACAGTGGTCCTTGTTCTGCACTGCACAGCATTTGGTTAGAGACCAACAGTGAACTTTAAAAGCAAAGAATGCCATCATTAGATGCAACACAAGACAGTGGAGCTGGAGTTGGAGCCTATCCAATGGAGGATTTTAGATAAAGTGGCTGTAAGCCTGCCAGTAGGGAAACACAAGTCAGAAAGGGCTTGTACAGCCAGCCAGTCTTAGCTAAGTCTTGGTGAGAGAAACACTCAAATAATCAGGTCCAAATGTGTAAAAATAATCAAGTGTGTGAAAATGCATGTAAATAATGAGGAGGCAATTCACCATGGAACAATGCAGGTTGAAATGCCATGAAGTCATTCCTTTTATGCCTCTCTTTATCATTTGATTCCTGATTACACAAGCAACAATTCGATAAGCTCCATCAGTAATATCCCTGTTTTTTTTTTTGTTTTTTTTAAAAGGAGTTAAATAAACAAAGAATAATTCTTGGTTGCTTGATCAATCAGGCTGAGTGGCTATGGTTTCAAACTGATTTCATAAACACTTATCATTCAGGATGCAAAAAAAAAAGAACAGCAAAATGTTCCTCGCGCTTGACCGGAGCACAGAAAAATCCAACACTGCGCTTTCCAATCGAGCTTGGAAAGTACAGTTTTTGTTCATCATATTTATCATGTAATAAACTAAAGCTGTTAATAATTTAAACACATTATTTCAGAATGAATTATATTAACCAAGAACAAACAAAGTAATCAATCTAGAGTTCTCTCAGATTGCCTATGGAGCCCATTTTCCCTCAAAGCTGCATTCTCGAATAGAATTTACTCTTCTTAGTCTTGGTTTGTAACGCAATCACCTGCAGAGAACAATTGTAGTTTAGCCATGCCATGTTTTTCTATTATTTCCATAAAACTATATTTTCTACATTTTTATGCACTACTGCAACAACCTAAAGTGTATTAAAATGTCTTTAAAATCGTAACTGTGCTTTTACACGTTTACTACGGACGCAATGTACCTGAGATGTAGGTTCAATTTTTCTTCTGTGTGTTCCTTGAAGCTGTAGTCAAATGATTTTGGCAAACTAAAAGAAGCAGTTAACTGCCATTTACTGTAAGCTGGATGCTTTGGATATTTTTCTGCACCACTGGAGCTGATCAGTGTGGGTATTAAAGTTGCTGGAGTTTGTAGACAAAAATGGGAACCTCCTCTTCTGGAGTATATGCACACATGCCCACGAATAAACTCACACCAAAAGGATGGGAGGATGTATTCAAATGTAATTTCACACTTCTCTGTCCCTGTTTCTCCACTCCCTGTGGATTCTTTTACCTAAAACAAGCTCCTGCTGGTATACAGTTGCCTGTAGTGAGAGAAGCCATGTGGAAAAATGCAGATGCACTTGCAGCACGATAAGCAAATGACTGGCTCCACAACAAGCTCCATCTCGATCTGTTTATTTAGATGAAATGTTCCACTGTATGTTATCAGCTTACAGCTTTAAACCAGACTCTGTCTACACCATCAATAATTCATTCTGTCTGCATGTGTAACTCATGGATGATTCGTGGGGATTTTTGTAGGACAGTGGTGCAGTCACATTACTGAGAGGTCTAGTTAGTGATCCCACCTTTATAATCATTCAGCCCAGTTTGGCTACCCTCAGTTCAGTTAACGTGTCAGAAAAGTATAGCAATACAGCACAACAAATTACCTCAAGATGGACAACATGCGCAAATATGTCTATGCATAAAATATTAAAGTGTATGTAAATTATTCAAAAGGTTCGCTGTTGCCGTATGCCTAAGTGAGGTTTACGAGCCTGAGGTTCATTTCCATAAGAGCCATGTAGCCTGGCGTAATTGTCCTATTAATAATCCAAATAGCTAATTACATACTTTTACTACACACACTGATGGAAGTGAGAATAATTAAACACATTAATCTGGTTTGATCATCTATGTAATGACCCATGTAATAAATAAAATGAGACAATTAGGCATAGGTTTGGGTGATTTCATGGCGCTATTTAGAGCATGGTTAAAGTTCAGCTCAGCTGCTGTAAATCTGCTGGTGGAGGGCTTGGTGGAAATGGCCAGAACTCAGAGCAAAAATGCTGCAAAATAAACTTATAATGAACCTCATTCAGACAGTAATTGTGTGCTTCCACTGAGTGGTTCTGCTGTGTTGACTCCACTTTAGTGGAGTAAACGGGCTGAAAGAATCCCTGCAGGTCAGGCAGACATGATATTAAATTGCGAGCGAGGAGACTGACAATGATAGAAAGAGAAGGAGCGCGAGACAGAAGATGGTACTAATGCCAGCTCATTCCATCTACAGATATGGCATCTAATAAAAAAAGACTGAGGCAAAGTTATTGCATGGCCAGGTGAATCATGTCAGGCGCAGCCACACTGAGTGTCAGTGTGAAGACCTCACTGTCTTCTGAGACTGGTATGAAGCTGGCAAATATTTCCTCAGCTGTGATTCTTGACCTGAATATAATTTGTTAACGTGCTGTTTCAGTTTATTAAAATGTTCAAAATACTCATATTTTCTTGGCAAATAATTTAACTGAATGCTCTTGATGCAAATAATTTTGAAGCATTTGAAATAAATGTGATCATTATATAAATTCCCATCTTAACAAATGTTTTCCTCCCCCTCAATCAAATAGACAAAACAGCAATGTTAATCGCTATCAAGTGTTGAGCCCTTGATGCACAACAACAGCTAATTTAGCTCATTGGTTCTACTAGACATGAGCTGGGCAGTTTTCCATCACAGCAACATTAAAGAAAAGAAAAACTACACCTCACACTCCTTCCTCCACCTTTCCCTTTGTTTGCTTCTCCCTTCCTATACTCACGCTCCTCATGTGTTGCTCACCCATATTGTAGTGATCATTACTGCCTACCTTCAAAGAGCTGGGGCCTAATTGGCAGAGACATGGATGGTGGTTAGAGTGAACGGCATTGCAGCCCAGCCTCCATGTTAATTGGATAAGGTTGTGAATAATGCATGCGGACTAAAGGATGGATTTTCATTAATACCTTGGGATTGGGTTGCTATGGGATTTCAGGTAGCACAGCAGTGAGCATTTATATTAATAAAGCCAGCAATCGCTAGGTGAGAAAAGCCTTGGACCTTTATTGAATCATTCTTTTGGCTGCTGGTGTAAATGTTTGTCTTACTTTGGATCTTTCCTATTTAGCTGGCGCCATGGATGTGTTATTTGTAGCAGCCATTAAAGAAAAGCTTCCTGCCTCCATCAACCCAAGGTTGTAGTACACTTTCTCTTTAGCCTTGCTTGTTTACCTCATTCTGATGTGCTCTAATTTAGTATTATAGTAGAATACACTATATAAGGCAATATATAATTTTGATGAGCTTTAAAGTCAGTATTTGGTAACACCATATTTATTTTTTAACACAGCCTGAACTCTCTTAGACAGCTTTCTTGTAATTCCTTTTACGATTCTTCAGGTATAGTTCTCCATTCTTCCTGAAGGACATTCAAAGCTCTTCTTTGGATGTTGGCTACCTTTTTGTTCTTTTCTTTGTCAAGATCAGGCAGCGTTGATTCGGGAGTGTTGCTCTGGGGAGGCCAATCCATGACTGATAGTGTTCCATTGTGTTTTTCCATCCAGGTATGCTTGTATGCACTGACCTAATCAATTAACTTATTTACTAATCAAATACTTTAAAGATGGTATTGTATGGTGGATCAAAATCTGATGGTACTTCTCTGCATTCATAATTCCATCAATTTTGACAAGATCTTCAACACCACTCGCTAAAATGTGGCCCCAAACCATGACAGAGCCTCCACCATGTCTTACAGATGGCTGTAGACACTCACTGTTGTGCCTGTCTTCTGAATTGCTCCACACTTGTTGATCACGGTTTCAACCAGAAATTTCACATTTAGAGCCATCACTCCATCAGACCTGTTGCCACTGATTTTCAGCCCAGCTCTTGTGTAATTTGGCAGTTGTCAGGCGTTTCTTGCTGTTGTCTATCCGAGAATGGCTCCTTGACAGCTACACTTCCATAGAGACCATTTCCGACAAGGCTTCAGTGAACGGATGATGAATCAACTGAAGGGCCAGTTGCTTCTCTCAAGCCCTCTGTCAGGTCTTTGCTGGATACTGCTCTTCTGCTGCAGATAGTTTTTTTTTTAGACCTGCCATTTCTTCTTTTGTCCTCTGTTTCTCCTGTTTCCTCAAAACTTTTAAGGACACACAGCAAACTATGCTAAAAAAAATGCCTGTTTTTGGCTAATAACTCTTTGAAAATTACTTTATTGTACCACAAAGACTATTTTATGCCAATCAAACTGTGTTACTTTTGGCATTTCTGTAGATTCAACAGAAGAAATAGCAACAAGTGACGTGCTTTTACAACAGGCTGCTATTATAAGGCTAGCTAAAGAAACAGTTTAAAATGTGTTCTTTGCTAAGCTGTCTCTTATGTGTGGACACAACGCTGGCTCGTCCCTTGAGTTAGGTGCCCTTTTTATGCTTGAAGGATTTGAAGGTCAGTCTTAGGTGGCTTAAAAGCAACGAGCAGTGTTGGGAAGGTTACTTT